ACTCTGAAGGGATCCGAGACAGGCAAAGCCATCTCCCGCTGCCCAGACACTCGCGTCGGCGCGTGATACAGCGGATGGAGACGGACGCGTCGCCAAGCGCGAAGGAACTGAGAGAGGGGCGCGACCTCGGAAATCGCCAGAAGCTAAACCTCATGTGATTCCGCGGCAGATGAAGCCCCGCACCAAGCTCGAAAGTCGCTCCATCTTCGGTAGTTGAAATGACGCCGATGGATGTCAAATGTATGACGTTAGAGCTGTTGCGCGGTCCACGCACGCGTCCGATGGCGTTCCTTCGGACAACAGTCGCAAAAGCTTTGCCCATACTCCCAGAGTCGGTGCTTCTTGAGTCTCCTTACCCGATGATTTAACTTCACTGTTCTGCTGATTTTGTTCACGCGCGTCACAATGGATTCATTACCTTCGTCGTACCGGCTGCTCGCAGCTCTGCCAGCGCGATTATGTTCACAACGCCCTCTCCCCTCACAACTACGAGTCGCGCGACTCCCCCCACGATGGCGATTCACGGGTCAACTGCGAAGCATCAGTCAAAGCGCTCCCATGATCGACCGCTCCAAATCGAAGCTTTTCAAAGATGCAGATGAAGCGGTCGCAGACGTACAACCGGGATCCACAGTATTGAGTGCGGGCTTTGGTTTATGCGGTGTTGCAGACACGCTCATCGGAGCGATGAACAAGCGCGGCCCGCAATCGCTACACTCCTTGACAGCCGTCTCCAACAATGCTGGCATTGAAGATGTAGGAGGCTTAGCGCTACTTACAAAAAGCGGACAAGTCAAGAAGCTCATCATAAGCTTTCTGGGAAACAACAAGGCATTGGAGAAGCAATATTTAGGCGGTGATATCGAGATTGAGCTATGTCCACAGGGTACGCTTGCGGAGAGGATAAGAGCTGGCGGTGCGGGCATCCCAGCATTCTACACGCCCACCGCTGTCAACACGTTACTACAAGATGGAGAGATCCCCGCAAAGTATGATAAAGACGGAAAGGTCGTTGGCTTTGGTCAGAAGAGGGAGGTCAGAGAGTTCAATGGCAAGAAGTTCCTCATGGAGACTGCTTTGACCGGCGACGTTGCGATAATTCGAGCGCACAAGGCCGACGAGGCCGGCAACTGTGTCTTCAGGTAAGAGACATCTCTCCCCGGTGCTTTGAGCATCGTTTCTGACAACGACTTTAGATACACCACCAAAGCCTTCGGTCCCATCATGGCCAAAGCGGCCCGCCTCACCATCGTTGAAGCCGAAGAGATCGTCCCAATCGGTACCTTTGACGCGAACGACATCGACCTCCCCGGCATCTTCGTCGATCGCATCGTTCCTTCCACAGCTCCCAAGAACGTCGAGATCAAGAAGCTCCGGAAACCCGCTGCCTCCTCGGATGCATCATCTAAGAACGAGGCGGCAGAGCGTCGCGACCGAATCGCTCGCCGAGCAGCGAAGGAGCTGAAGCAAGGATACTACGTGAACTTGGGTGTCGGCATCCCAACGGCAGCAGCGTCTTTCGTGCCTGACGGCGTGAAGGTGTGGTTACAATCCGAGAACGGTATTCTGGGCATGGGCCCCTACCCGACCGAAGAGGAGCTCGACCCAGATATCATCAACGCCGGTAAGGAGACAGTCACACTCCTGCCTGGCGCCTCAACATTCGACTCTGCAGAGTCATTCGGCATGATTCGTGGAGGCCACGTTGATGTCTCTATCCTAGGCGCTCTCCAAGTCAGCGCTTCCGGCGACCTAGCAAACTATATGGTACCTGGAAAGGTTTTCAAGGGCATGGGCGGCGCCATGGACCTCGTCAGCAACCCAGAAGCCACCAAAGTAGTGGTCGCTACTGAGCACGTCGCAAAGGACGGATCAAGCAAGATTGTCCAGGAGTGCAAGCTGCCGTTAACAGGAGCCAAGTGCGTCAGCACTATCATTACAGACATGTGCGTATTTGAGGTCAACAGGAAGCGTGGTACTTTGACGCTTACCGAGACTGCGCCTGGTGTGAGCGTCGAGGATGTCAAGGCAAAGACAGATGCTAGCTTTGAGGTTGCGCCTGATCTTAAGACCATGGAGTAGACATTTTGTGTAGTTTTTGGCGTAGCATACCCAAGTGATGATCGTTTTCAATTTCCATACACAGCCTGTCTTGAGTTGTGATGCAATTGTGAGGGAACGCGAAACATACGACAAAGCTGAAAGAATTGACCGTTTTACGCGTCATTTTGATCGTCGCAAGCAATTTGATCATCCAACAGATGTCTCATGACCCAAACAGAAAAACAAAGCATCGCGATCGCGATAGGCAGATCGTCGGTTACCCAAAGTACAAGCTTGGTGCTTTTGGTCGCTTCCGATAACAGCGCGTGCATCACAGCACGCGCAATCCTCAAAACAGGACGTTGCGATAACAGAAAAGAAGCTTCAGACTATATTTCCATCGCACCTGGGCATGCAACAAAACCGTTGACGATCTCCCACGACACTGGCACCTGGGAGTTCATCGTCGAGTTGGCATACCGAATTTCGGGGGCAGCCAAGCTGTCCAAGTGGGCGGCTGAAAGGCTTCGCACTGCTTGGTCCACGCTCCATCCAGCACCTGGGCACAACGAAAAGCTTGGTACCGCCGATCTACGATCAGCCCTCCACATGCGCATTCATCAACAAACCACAAAACCCGCCATGTCATACCTACATGGCTACACCATCCGACCTGCTATCCGCGGTATCGCTTTATCTAATCCACGTCGGATTACAAAAGCCTTCGGAAACAGAACAACATCCGCAGCTCGTACAGCTAACGCCCGAGTCAGTAACGCTGATGTCAAGCCTGCCGATCGCTTGTCTGCCTTAAGAGCGCTATGCATGGTTTGGCATGGTTCAAGCATAAGCTTGGTGCAGTCGGGGTAGCCCTTCACTCGTCGGCAGCACAACTCCGCCAATCGCACAGCAGATAATCCCGATTGTGCCGTGACCCTTGCGCCCGCCCCCATGGGGTCAGCATGGGTAGCGCCGTTTCTGGGCAGTTCGGGGCGCGGCGGTGGTTGCGGTGTACATGGCGCTACCGGGAGCCCGTTGAGGAGGGAGGGGGAATAAGTAAGCTGGTCGCGCACTCGGGGTTTCTTGTCAACAACGCTTTCTTGAGCTGCGTTCCAGATTCTGTTTTCTCTGCTTGTACCAATTGGGGTTTTTGAGGTTGTTCAATATGAGCCTGGATAAGATGCACGATGAGAAATTCGAGAATGGGAGTGGGAGTGAGCGGTTGGAGGCGGGGTTTGGTGGGGATGGGAAAGCTGCAAAGACGCTGTTGTTTAAGATGGACGTCCGGTATGTTTAACTTCTTCGATCTACTACATTCTTTCAGAAGCATGGCGCTGACAGACATAGCATCCTACCCGTCCTCGCTCTCCTCTTTTTGTGCTCGTTCATCGACCGTACGAATGTCGGCAATGCGAAGATCTTGGGTCTCGAGAAGGACATCAACATCAACGACCACCAATACTCAATCGGCCTGTGCGTCTTCTACGCTACGTATATCGCCAGTGAGCTGCCGTCAAACCTGGTGCTGAAGAAGATGTCACCTAAGATCTGGCTGCCGCTCTTGACGGCGGTGTGGGGGATCTTGACAATGTGCCTTGGTTTCGTCACCAACTTCGCGTCATTCGTCACTGTTCGCGCATTGCTTGGTTGTGCTGAGGGTGGGTTGTTGCCGGGCATGGTACTCTACCTTACTGGCTTCTACCGCAGACAAGAGTTGGCTTTGCGCATCGGTATCTTCTATACAGCAGCGTCCCTATCGGGTGCTTTCGGTGGTCTGCTGGCTCGCGGACTCAATGCGATCGGACCTGCTGGAGGTCTTGAAGGGTAAGAGACAACCGCCCGCTTCGAACGACCGATATCTAACTGTGTAAATAGTTGGCGGTGGATCTTCATCGTGGAGGGCCTACTGACCGTACTCGTTGGCGTATGCTCCGCGCTCTTCCTACCCAACTCCATCGAATCAGCCAAATTCCTCACTGCCGACGAGAAAGAGCACGCTCGATTCCGGCTCGGCGAGCAAAGCGCATCCCACGAGCGCTTCGCCTGGGCAGAAGTCAAGCGCGGAGTATTCAACGTCCAAGTCTGGCTCACTGCATTGGCATACTTCGCCATCTTGAGCGGACTGTACAGCTTCGGTCTCTTCCTCCCCACCATCATCAACAACGGCTTCGCCAAGGACCCCAACCAAGCACAGCTCTGGACCGTCATTCCTTACGCTGTGGCATCAGTCTTCACAGTAGCAGTCGCTCTCCTATCCGATCGTCTTGCCCTACGTGGCCCCATCATGCTATGTACCCTACCCGTTGCCATCATCGGCTACGGCGTCATCAGCTCATCCACCAACCCCAAAGTCCAATACGGCATGACTTTCCTGATGGCAACCGGCATGTACGCAACTGTACCGTGCATTCTCTCTTGGAACAGCAACAACTCCGCTGGCCATTACAAGCGCGCGACTACTTCTGCCTTGCAGCTTGCGATTGCGAACGCAGGTGGTTTTGTAGCCAGCTTCGTGTATCCGAAGAGCGAAAAGGAGAATCATTTTCACAAGAGTCATAGCATCATGCTGGGATTGCTTTGCGCGGCTTGGGTTCTGTAAGTTTTTGAGATGTCACCTTTGGCTGGAATCTTTACTAATGTGTCGGTAGGATTGCTGCGAATGTTTTGTGGGTGCGGAAGATCAACAAGGATAAGGCGAGTGGGAAGTATGCTGAGTTTGAGGGCAGAGGTGATGACCGTGACCCGGACTTTATCATGGTTATGTAGATTCATCAATGAAGTGGCTACTTGTTTGCCTAGCCTATTCAGACCGAGTAACGCTCCAAGCAGTGTCCCCATACTTCGTGATGTAACCCAAGGGACCGATCTAAGACTATTTCAATCCCGATGTAGGCTCCAGGGTGTTCAGTGTTTTCCCAGGTTGACGTGCTTGCACGTCCTCATGAAGCGCAAGCAACTCAACCCTCCACGTTATCACTAGACGCGACTGACTCCTGCTTCTGCGGCTTATCCCGCTCATTCCTTGCTTTCTCCTCGTCGACCTGTCTCAGATCCTCCTGTTCCTTCTCCCAACCCACCAACCACTTGCACTTGGAGTCATCAGGAGCCAGATACAAAGGACGCGTAACAGCCAGCCGCCAGTAACCCATACTCCTATCACTAATGCTGACATGTGGGTCTTCGTATGTGCGTTCGAGCGCATCAAAGAAGGCCGTGCACTCAGTCTGTAGGCCTAGAACGCGGAGACACCGGAGGATACGCGTGATGCGAAGATGATTGTGGTCGAACCTGATGGCCCAGTTGGCGAACTTCTTGCGATAATCTGGTGTGCGGACGATGTGGTATGGAAGGGGCTTGGATGCGGAGATGTTTGTGTGGGCACCTGGCGGGAAAGAGGCTGGTTCAGAAGATTCGCTTTGCTTCGACTCCGCTTCAGACTTGTTGGATACCATGAAGCCGTAGAAGCTGAGCATACGCTCGAAGCTTCGTCGTAGGTTCTGCCGTAGCTCACTCCGTGAACGGAAGGCTTGCATTACTTCGAGGTTGACGACTGGGGCCTGTAGATGGTTAGCATGCTGCAAAAGTGATCGAAGATTTCATTGCATTCTCGGTATACCCTGGAGGTATTCACGAGGCTGAACTTGGACACATGTCGATTTCCACTATGGCGAATACCTCCCGGGTACGACATCAGTAAACTGAAAGGCTTACTTCACTGTTGTATGGAGAACCCTCTGGGAGCGGAAATAGCATCTGGACATAGTTGTGGGAAGCTTCCAGCCTACTGTCTGACCATGCCAGTATCTCATCGAGTTGCCGACCGAGGGCGTCCTTGGCGCGTACATCGGGGTCGTAGAAGCGGATGATGAGTTGGCTCTTGCCAGCGGTCGCAGTCTGGTCAGCCTTTGAGGCGTCTGACAGAACCATTTTCGCGCGCTTGTTGAATACAGTTGATATTGGATGTTGAAGTCGCAAACAATGTATAAATTATGGGTGAGAGGTCAGAAGTACGCAGGTAAGGCTGCACCCTCACACATTGTACCTAGGTAGAGTGCGCCTTCCCTGAACTGGGCTAGCCCCATCGCGGCTCCAGGGCTTTCCCTTCCCCACCAAACGAAAACGCATGACTGCTATACCTTGGTGAAAGCAAACACAGGGGGCACGAATTGGGAAATGTGAAGGCTACGTTGTTGGATTATTGTGTCTACCAACTCAACCCTGATGTAGGTTGCAGAGACCTGTTTAGATTCCGCCACGGCTGTCGCAACAGCGACGATCATTCCGCAAATGTCCGCATGCAACCTAGAGACACTACATACTACCTGGGTAGCCGCGGGTGGTATCGCGCTAATGGTACCGCGATTGTCGTCGTCCTTCGTTCACACTCTGGCGACGTGTCTTCGCCCCATTGAAGCCCTGGAGTCCGCGGGATGAAAGCTGAACGCTGACGTCATCCGCGCAGATTGTTGAACAGCGCCGCTTCCAGGCCCCATTCACCACCCGTGCGCCGTACTTGGACGCTTGGTAGCCAGCGCAAACGCAGGGTACATGATAGACAAACCTGCTCAGCCCCTACCAACGCAGGATTATTCACGCGCTATCAGCGATAATGATTTCCTTAAATCTGACTATGGCACTGGCGAAGACTCTGCTTGCTCAACCAAACTCCTCTGCTACTCACAACCATTTGGAAGCAACTCTCTTTGATTTAGGACATATATCTTGATACCCACAATGAGCTCTGAAGGTGTGTGACGATGGTATCTCTTTCCGCAATTCAAATCTAACAACGTTCTAGAACAGAAGCCGACACCAGAGAATGAAACCCTATTCCAGGGTTTCGAATGGAACGTCCCGGATGATCACAAGCACTGGCGGCGCCTTGCCGAGGAGCTTCCTAAGCTAAAGGCCATCGGTATTACCAACATATGGCTACCCCCTGGCTGTAAAGGTGCCAACCCTCAGGGCGTTGGCTACGACATCTACGACCTGTACGACCTCGGCGAATTTGAGCAGAAGGGTCAAAAGGGAACCAAATGGGGAACCAAAGAAGAGCTACTCGAACTTACGAAGGTTGCCAAGGAGCATAGCGTGGGCCTATACTGGGATGCCGTATTGAACCATAAGGCTGGAGCCGACCAGACGGAGAAGTGCCGTGTTGTTGAAGTTGACGAAAATGATCGCACTAAGGAGGTTTCTGATGCCTTTGAAATCGAGGGATGGCTAGGCTTCGATTTTCCGGGTCGTGGCGAGCAGTACTCCAAGATGAAATACCACTGGGAGCATTTCTCAGGCACCGACTGGGACCAAGCCACCGAGAAGAAAGCCATCTATAAAATCCTAGGTGACAACAAAGGCTGGTCGCAATCCGTGGACGATGAGCAAGGCAACGCGGACTACATGATGTTCGCCGACATTGACTACTCGCACCCTGAGGTTCAAGAAGACGTCAAGAACTGGGGCGTGTGGATCACTAAAGAGCTTGGCTTGAAAGGGTTCCGGCTCGACGCTGTGCAGCATTTCTCCTCAAGATTTACCAATGAATGGATCAAGAATCTGCGCAAACAGTGCGGTGACGACATCTTCGTGGTTGGCGAGTTCTGGTCAGGAGACGTCAAGGAGATGAGTGACTGGCTTGACGATATGAACCACGAGTTCGCTCTCTACGACTCGCCTCTCCTGAACAACTTCGGGTCCATCTCGACAAGCGAATCGGCGGACCTGAGGAAGGTCTACGATAACACACTCGTTCAGATGCGTCCTACCGATGCTGTTACGGTCGTTACAAACCACGACACACAACCTGGGCAGGTGATGGAGACCAAGATTGAGGGCTTCTTCAAGCCTCTTGCCTATGCTCTCATTCTGCTGAGGCAGGAAGGCTACCCATGCCCATTCTACGGCGATCTTTACGGGCTCTCAGAGCCGCATGAGACGCCTGCTTCATGTGGTGGAAAGCTCGCCGACCTCATTCTCGCACGAAAACTCTTCGCGTATGGAACACAAGAGGACTACTTCAACGAAGCCAACTGCATCGGGTTTGTGCGTCGTGGAACATGGGACAGGAAAGCGGGTCTGGCGTGTGTAATGAGCAACGCAGGTCCTGGTCAAATCAAGATGGCTGTTGGCGAGATGCATGCCGGTGAGAAGTGGACTGACATCCTTGGGTGGGAGGAGAGCGAGGTCGAGATAGACAGCGAAGGTTATGGACTGTTCAACTGCCCAGGCACCAGTGTCGCGGTCTGGGTGCGAAGCGATGCTGAAGGGCGCGACCAATTTCCTACAAACTTCGATGCGAACGTATACCACAAAGATTAGATAGGCAACATCTTGTTGTAGAATGTGACAGGGAGAACTGCGAACATCCTGAGTGTGTATCGCCTCTCTGAAGAATTGAATACTGCGCCTGACAGACTGGCGGTGTGGACCTTATCAAGCCTCAAACTGCTTGCTTTTCTCTTATCAAGACCCTGTGCGCCGCAATCCAAGGGTTGCAACTCATGGAACCTGCGGGAAGATGGTTGGGGAGATCGGCGATGAACCTTCCGCTTCGGGACCAGCGCGGAACCAATCAATCGCGACAACGCCGACCATTTTAGACGTTTCGCGGCGTTTCTCTAGTAAGCGAGCATGCAGCGTACCCGCCGACAGTGTATACTCGATTCTCATGGTTGCAGGAGCGTCTATTGACGTCTACACAACATGGCCAACGGCTCCGTGATGCCGGAATTTGTTGCATGTGACATGTGACCCCCGCGATCGCTATGTCTAGATCGTGGGTCTCGTGTCAGGGCACGCGCATCAATTTAACTCCGCTCCTACGCTTTTCTAGCTTCTGTCGCCCTCGACGAGCCGAACACTCACAGCCCCTTTGATTCTTTTCTTCAGACGTCTACTCTGCCCTGCGTTTCTAACGACGAGCGCCTCGCTGCAGACTTCCCATGTCGCTGATTCAGCATGTTACACAGCAAGAGGGCACTGATCGCGAGGAGGCGTTGGTAGATTTGTTCTTACCGCCTGTCGACCGCCAGATTAGCCGACAGGATGCTGCGGAACGTCGGCTTTCTCTTGAGAGCGCCATCTCGGGAGCTGGCTTCTTGAGCGCACAAGGAAAGAGCGTGAGGAGAGTTATCAGTTACGACATAATACCCAAGCCCGAGGAGCTCGCACCGGGCGAGGAACCTGGAGGCTTGACGCCATACAAGGTGCCGACGGGCAAGCGTATCGGTAAGTTTGGCTGCATCGCATTCGCGTTCTGACCACTAACACGCGATTACAGCACAGGTCATTGTAACGGTTCTTGCGTGTTGGTTCGCTAGCGGCATCGTTTTCGGTTTTGCAGCTTTGAAGCCAATTCTTATCAAGGAAGGCGTTTTCAGCAATCTGTGCACACCCGAAGAGGTGGATGCCGACGTTGAAGTTTGCTTCGAGCAAGATCTCAGGTTGAACTTCTTTTTTTCTTTGGCATCGACTACGGCGAATGTTTCTGCTCTCCCCGTCGGTACCCTGCTCGATCGCTATGGGCCCAAGCTTTGCTTCCTTTCTGGTGCTTTCTGTCTCGCGGTTGGAAGTATCCTAATGAGTCTCGCGTTTCAGATCGAGCATTTTGACGGATATACAATCGGAAACTTCTTCCTTGCCCTTGGAGGCACATTTGTCTTCCTGCCCTCTTTCCAGATTGCTAACGCCTTCCCCAAGTATGCGGGTAGCATCGTTGCGCTCGTTACTGGTGCATTCGACGCTTCAGCAGCAGTCTTTCTCTTCTACAGGCTCATGTACGATGCTAGCAACAGGGCATTCAAACCACAGACTTTCTTCCTGGTCTATCTCGTCGTTCCAGCAGCCATCGCTATCGCGCAGCTTACCTTCTTACCGACCGAGAACTACAAGACTGAGGCACAGTTAGAAATGAAGCTTCAGAGAGCTGAAGACGCTATGCGAGACGTTCATTCTTCAGATGATGAGCTACCCGACAACGAGATCTGGAAGCGAAGGAAGGCCCGTAGCTCGCGTCGTAAGGAGAGACAGAGCAGACTTGACGAGCTGATCGGAAATGAGGCGGCTCGTAAGATCCGGGAAGAGAAGGCTGAGCAGAGATTGGAAAACTCCGGTGTCTGGGGTGCACTGCACAACAAGTCTGCCAAAGACCAGATGCTGACGCCCTGGTTCATACTGCTCACTATTCTGACCGTGATCCAGATGGTGCGAATGAACTTCTTCAGTTAGTAGATCCCTCCAGTGCGCTTGAACACTGCTAACATTCCGCAGTTGCTACTATCCGCGAACAGTATACATACATGCTTGGATCAGTCAAGCTCGCAGAAAAGGTCAACGACTTCTTCGACGTTGCTCTACCCGTCGCTGGAGTTGTCGCAACTCCCTTCTTAGGCGCACTGCTCGATAACGTCAGCACACCTGGCGTACTCTCCCTCCTCGTTGTCATCATCGCCGCTATCGGAGTCGTCGGCTCTATCTCCACTCTGTGGGCTGGATATGTCAACGTTCTTCTATTTGTCTTCTTGCGCCCGCTTTACTATTCCGCCATGTCTGACTACGCGACCAAGGTCTTTGGTTTCGCTACGTTTGGACGAGTTTACGGGACCATCATTTGCGTGTCCGGCCTGTTCAACTTGTCGCAGACTGCAATCGACGCCTTGACCAAGGGCTTGTGGCACGGCAATCCAGTCCCAATCAACATCATTTTGGCTGCTTTGGCGTTTGTCGTGGGTACGGCACTCGTCATATATGTCTCGGTACAGGTTTACCGTATGAGGAAGAAACTCGACGAGGAAGACGCCATTACCGTGACAAACACCGAAGTAGGTTCCATCATGGAAAGCCTGCTCGAAGAGGACGAGCCGAGGTCCTACGGCACAGTCAACCGCCAGCGACAGCCATGGGAGGTTTAATATGGTGGCGCGAAACTCTATTCATTCTTACCTCCGACATTCCCAGACCAGTTCGACGATATTCCTTCGCCGCTGTTATTACGAGTACGATTCAAATACGGCCGTCATTGAATCATGCTTCCTATACTAATTGGGCTCCTTCCTAACGTAATTAAAAGTTGTCACATTCTGTACGAGCGGGCGTTCATGTTCATCGCGTTATATTGCAGACTGTCATCAGCCGAGCGTCTTTATCAATAATAGTCATCGTCAAGCGAGCGTTATGGGTACGGGTTTTCGGGTCATGTTACATCTCATCATGTTTACGGCGCCAGATTGCAAGTCCATGTAGACTAGATTGCGATTTGTAGAAATTGTGCAGTGTTTTTGATATCCATTGTCATCATCCGTTGTTGTTTGTTCTAGTTCAAATCAAATCCAAAATCCATGCAATCTATCTTTGCGTCAAGGCTGCAGGTACAGGCTGTCAAGACCACGATACCACTTGCCCAGGTGAGCGAGGCAGTGACGCTAAAATTACGCCCCTCTTAGCGCTGGTGTGGGGCTCTGCGGCCCAGCCCCCATTCTCGAGCTTTCGGTAACCGAACCCCTCACTGATCGTACGACACTTTCCATCCACCACGAGCAGGGAGGGCCGATATCGCTGCCTGAGAACGACCACCGCTAATTCTAGAACCGTTACATTCGCTTGGTAAACTTGGTACCTGCGGCCGTTGTCTTGGAGCAATGGGCATGCTTTGCCTTATGACGCGTTGCAGTGGTACATCGTCTGCCTAAGCTGACATCCTCGCCGCATGCTGGGGCCTACGTCCACCGTTGTGCTGGAACAGTCGAGTCGACAAGTTGTTTCAATGTGAATCTCTGGCGCAGCTACCTAGGTATACTGCTGACGTCTCGTGGAGAGGGTTCACCTTGACTGCCCAACTGTGCTGCTCCGTCTGTCGGCCACCTGGTCTTTTCCTTGGTGGCACATTGGTCACTCTCGAAGCATGACAGAGACTTATTCACCGAAAATATGCAGATGTTTGGCGTCTGGCGCGCTTTTTTTAGGAGCATCTCGTTTTCGGAAATACCCAAGGCGCATTCAATAGACGTTACCATCTGTAAGAAGAGTTGGGATGCCAGAAAAGGTTGAAGACGAAAGGCAGCCTGACACGACGAAGTCCTCCACGTTCTGGGAAAGGATCCATCCCAGCACAGCCGAGTGAGCCCCCATCTTCGAGCTCAGCATGCATCGCGAAATTCGTACTCTGTCGTCATAGTATCTGTATCTTCATGGCGTTTTGCAGCCCTCGACCCAACTCGAAACCTCAACCAGACACATGATCAGCGTCGAAAGTGTCGTTTGCGTTGATGACAAGTATCTTTCTGCATGTCATCGTCATGGCCGTGTTCACGGTCTTCGCCTGGGGCCATCTTTACAACCCCAAACCCGCGCCACAGCCTCCAATTGCAGGCTTGGGGCCGATGGAGAGCGACCATGCAGTACGCCTCCCTCAGTTCGTTGCGCAAGACTCAGTCGAGATGGAACAGAGCTGCTGACATTCCTAGACATTGGAAGGAGGCGTAGGAAAAGTCAAGGGTCAATGTCACATGTTGACAGCTTCTGACATTTGCTTCTCCCAGTTGCTTGGGTATGATCGGTCCCAAAAACGTATATGTATGGCAGTCATTCTGCTTGTATTGCCCCAGGCACTTTCAACGCATCATTCTTTCCTCCTCTTGCATCTCCTCCTGAACACTAGGCCAGCCTGAAACCATTACCGAAGCTCGCATTCCATCATGGGTATCCGGTTTTCCCAGTGGGTTGCTCCGTCCATTGTACTTCACAGTACCCTCACATCTGCTCTCGTCGTACCTAGAGCAGCGTACAGCGGAAATGGCGAGCCTTATGGCACTGGAATCATCCATCCAACCACCATAGCCGCATCATCTTCCATGGCTTCTCAGGCCTCATCCCTTGGTACGTCGTGCGTTACTTCCGGGACCATAACCATAACGCTATCAGGCTCGAGTATTGTGCCGCCGGCTTCGATAATTGGCACCTATCCTGCCGTAAGCGGCCCTACCATCACTGGTGAGGACAAAGCAGATTCAAGTTGACGGGCAACATCTGATACTACTGCAGGTTATCCTTCAAGTCCTTCCTCGAGCTCAGTTGTATCGAGCATCACTGTGGAGTATCCTGCCGAATCGTCCGTACCACCTCCTGAGAACCCAGCGACTTCGGACTATCCTGCTGTTACTCCTACCTCGAATGTGGCTTCGTCTCCTGGCGGCGGATATGGCCATTCCCCTGCGCCTGTCTCCCCCCACCTAAGTAAGCTTACGAGCAGTGCGATTCCGGAGAGCACCGCCACTCCAAGTAACTACAGTATGTCTTTCAATTCCATCACTTCTCGCGCGCTTTACTATGTATACCCCAGACAGAGATTGTTGGAACACAGATGACTAACCTTGTGATAGATACGCCCTTGCCGTATGCCACCAACCCCGCGACAGCATCAGTAGCACCCTACCCTATCACCTCTCTCCAAGGGGCACATGTATCACACAGTACAGGCCCAGTTGGTACTTCACCAACTCTCCACGTTCCGTATCCGACAGGAAACGTTACATCGAAGCCTCCTTCTGGAACGGGGTATCCGACGTCAAGCACCGTGCTGCCGTATCCGGAAGAAAGCGATGCTTACTTATCACAACGGTCCGCTACATCTTCTGCATTAGGTTTGTTGACTGGCACATCACGAAGTCGCGTCAGTATGTGCCGCTGACTTTGTATAGCTACTCCTGATTATCCAACGCCATCCCCAGCTCTTCCAGTTTCCTCGGCACCATCTTCAGCCCTTCCTGACTATCCAGCATCGCCTCCGGCCCCTCCTGTGTCTTCAGTGTCATCGTCAGGCTCTCCTGTTTATTCGGCATCAACACAGGTTCCTCCTGTCTATTCGGAAACACCGGCCGTTCCCGTCTCGTCACTCTCCTCAGCCTACTCTAATTCGCCAGCATCGTCTTCTTCCCCTCCCATGTATCCAGAATCCTCTTCAGCCTCTCCAGGCTACCCGGCATCGCCTTCGGGTCATCCCACCCCTTCGACGTCGCCTTCTGCCCCTCCTCCGTACCAGACATCGTCGTCAGACTCTCCTGTTTATTCGGCATCAGCAACGGTCCTTCCTGGCTCTTCGACAGCATCGCCAGCCTATTCTGTCTCACCGACATCGTCAGCCCTTCCAGACTATTCGGCATCAGTACCGGTCCCTCCCACCTCGCAGACATCATCTCTGGCCTACCCCGTTTCGCCACCATCATCTTCAGTCCCTCCGATGTCTGCGACGCCATCATCAGCCCTTCCCATCTCCTCGGCGCTCTCTTCAGCCTACCCTGTTGCGCCTATATCGTCTTCAGTCGCTCCCGCGTATTCAGCGTCGTCTTCGATCGCTCCCGCGTATCCAGCGTCGTCTTCGATCGCTCCCGCGTATCCAGCGTCGTCTTCGGTCGCTCCCGAGTATCCAGCTTCATCTTCGGCTCCTCCAGGCTATCCCACGGCTTCTTCAGGTACCCCTCTTGAGCCAACGCCATCTTCAACCTCAGTCGTAGCACCTACTCCAATTGTCAGTTCTACGCCAAGCGTCTACGTCCCAGCTACCTCTCTTCCGCCAGTGTCAGGGAGCATGACTACAATGTACTCGGCAGTTCAGCCTGTAGCTACTGATTACCCGGCATCGCCTGGGGTACCTGCTTCCGAGATCTCCACGGGTACTGAGCAGCTCGGTATTTATTCCCCTTCATTCTCATTGTCGAATCTCAAATGCTTACTCCACACTAGATTACCCAGCGGCACCTACTACCATGATCACCAGCGCTATTACGTCCTCCGCGACCCCGGACATGTATGTCACGCCTGCTCAACAGACAGGAGGATATGCAGCGTTCGCTGGAGTTGGTACCTGAGTCTCATGGAGATGAAACTGGTGACTCGGTCCCATGGACTGAAGTCGGTGATGCAGCAGCAAACGCTAGGGTTGGCCTGTACTCGTACGCCTGTATCAATTTCCTTTGTTCCACGTGTTGACATTTGGGTAATGTTTTGGGTTTTGGAGTTTGCCCTGGTATCTAGAAAACCTACTGAATCCACTCATTTACCACGCGATGCACGATCATAAAAGTAACTTTTTTTTTCGAAAGCTGCGTAGCCGTTTCTGATTGACAGGGTACAATCCCGGCTTCTCGGATTGCTCAGAGAACATGACGTGGGGTTCGCGGATCAATAGTCCGTGCGTCTTCGCGTTGCTATGGCAGGGAAGTAGCGTCGCGTGGGCGGCTAGTGCTGTTTACCGCTCACCGTCTGAGCTCGCACCACCACATATTACATAGACGTGCTGCACAACTTCCTTAGACTACCAAAGTTGAACAACCAAACTCACAGCAGGTGCTACCCTTCGACAACATACATAACCCCCCAAACCGTCAAGTTGGCGCGCCTCAAAGAATCCCCGGTCCAGATGGATCCGCCTCCGCCTCTGTCGCCAAACAAGGCACCCTTCTCGCCTGGGATGCCCATCTTTCCAGCCAGTCCCGACCGCGCTGCTGGCTCAAGATCTCCGTATGGCGACTCCAGGGGCTCATCGCCAGTCCTCTCGCCCTCGACACCCAACCTCCGCCCCCACTCGCCCCTACGACACACACACCGCCGAACCGATTCCGATGTTTCCGTCACAGCCCTCACAGGCATGTTCGAGAACCTCGAGGTTAAGGACCCACGGGAAGCATGCAAGCGCTTCAAGGAGTTGCTCGACAAGGAGAGGATACGACACGCGGAGAAGTTGAACAAGATTGAGAAGGAACATGCCAAGAAGGAGCGCGACCACGAGCTGTCATCGAGCCGACGCGACATGCGCATCGACGAGCTGAAGCACGAACTTGAGCAGACAAAGGAATCACTTGCGAATGCCGTTACCAAGGAAATATTTGAGAAGAGAGTCAATGCGAGCAAAGCTGCCATCGACAAGTGGGCACAGGCTTTCAAGGACAACGAAGAGAGGTGGAAGAGTATGGACGCCAAAGCTGTAAGTACACCATGCTCTTCTACACAGTTTCACCTATTAACATGTTTCAGACGGAAGCAGCATCGCGAGCCAAGTCTTACGAGGGCAAATATCGACACTGCAAGACGGAGTACATAGCGGCCAACAACGAGAAGCTACGATGCTCCGCAATGATACCGCAGCTCCAGGCTAAGATTCAGAGCGTTCAGCGTAGCTTGCAGCGGGCCGAGTCAGATGTCAAGTTCAAGACCGATGAAGCCGCCAAGTACAAGAACGAGGTGTACAGCCTGCAGGTGGAGATTGAGAGCGTTAGCAACCGACTGAACGAAGAAGTGCAGACACTGAAAGAGAAGCTTGGTCTCGTCGAGGGCGAGCGGGACGCTCTTAAGACGAGCTTGAAAGAAGAGGAGGTTCTGCGCATCGCTGCGGAAGGCCAGATACCGCTTCCATCGGCCGACCCGGAAGAGACGGATGAATTCGCATCACCTGTTCGATCACCACGCAAGCCACGCAACCTCGCACGCGAGGACGACGACAAGGAAAACGTGTCGCCAAAGAAGAACGCAGTTGATCTGCGCTTCATTCAGCAGGAGCTGGCAGCAGAGAGACGCGCTCGCGAACGTGCCGAGGAGCAGATCGACTTCATGAAGATGGAATGCCAGTTCCAGTGCTGCTCTTGCCGCATCGCTGAGAACAGGGGAAAGCACTACGTCCACGATGACTCACTCGAAGCCGAGATGCAGCGCATCAAGGTCTCGCTACCCATCTCTACGCCCCCAGCCAGCAACCACGGAGACGATGTCATGGAAGGTGTAGTGATCAAGCAAGAGTCTGTGGAGAACGAGCGTCCCATCACACCGCCTGAGGATGTTGTAGTCAAGACAGAGTCTGGGGAGCCCGAGACTGTTGTCGCCTTCTCTCCAGACACAGGAACCTTCCGCTCTGTGCCATCACCCATGAAGTCTCGTCCGTCAGCAGACATCGTCACACATGCAGAGCCATCACCTGTAGTCGAGATGACCGATGCGCCAGCGCCTGACGTGGTCGCTCCTGCCAACATATCTTTGCCACAGTCCCGTCCTGCATCGAGAGTCGACTTTGTTCTTCCTACCCGCAGGGAGAGCAAGGCTGTAGACATCAGCATCCACGAAGACGCCGTCGACGACGACAGCGAGGACGAGGACATGTCACCACCGACGCCCGACAGGGAGCCTACTGGGCCCACAACGCCCTATCTCACTCGCACTATTACCACAACAACTACCATCCCCCTCCACTTCTCCCCTGCCACTCCAGCGTTCAAGGCTGGCCGTGGGCCTATGACTCCTTCGACTGTAGCCCACGCTGCAGCCAATGCACAGACCCCTGTTCTGGGTGAACTGTCACTCAACAAGCTAGGCATCGACCGGGAAGCCGCACTCGCAGCGATCCGTGAGCGCAGAGGACGTGCTAGAAGCATGGCCGCTGGTCACGGAACGCCGATGAAGCAGATGGTCGAAGGTGTAAAGGACCGCAGAGACATTAGTGCGCCTGTGACTCGGGTACGAAGTGTATCACGGATACGAAGATGAGCGATCGGAGATGGACGTTGTGGAGGTGGCTGGTGACTGCCGTGCTGACTAGGGTGCAGCGAGAGTCGTGATACCATTGATTTCCTGTTGCGACTTTACCTTGCGCTTAGCGGCATTGCATGGCGTTGGAGGCTATTGCTGCATTTGAACTTTCCCGGCGTTGTCTGTCTGCATAGATGTTTTGCACAAGCAACGACTGCGTTATATACCACAGTTTTGCTTCTTGCTAGTTCTTACGATATTGTAATTGAGTATTGACATGTTCAACTTTGTCTTGGGTTCTGTGCTGAAGTTGATGTGAATGTGGATGGTCGTTCGTGCTTGTTACCGACGTCTTTTTTGAACACGAATCTATCTTTGTAAACGATACGTTGGTTGGTTAGAGCGATTGACCATTTTCTTCGCGTGGTGTTCAAGAGACGAGATGGGCGGGCCCCGGCGTGCACCCTTCCGCCAAGCCCCGCTAGCGCACGATTGGCGGTTCAAGCGAACGTCGAAATTGATCGCACTCGAACACCTGGATTATCTCTTGCGACAGCGACTACGAACTTCGACGCCCAACCCTCTTTCTCCCTTCCACACCGACAACCGCCACCATGTCTGACAACGGAGAAATCGAGGTCGAGAACCCCACCGGCATTGCCATCCTCCCCAAGGATGTCACCGACGAGCAGGGCAGCGTAAAGCTGTTCAACAAGGCAGGCTTATTACAACTTCCGCTCACGCGCACAATACTGACTTTTCGCAGTGGTCCTACGAGGAGGTCGAGGTCCGCGACATCTCATTGACGTACGTTTCCCCCACGATATCGCGCCGCACACCCGTATAAAAGGACAATGGTGGCATTGGATACTTTGTATTACGCTGCGAGACCTTCGGCTAACTGAAGCCGCAGCGACTACATCCAGATCCGCTCGCCTGTCTACATCTCACACTCCGCCGGCCGATATGCCGTCAAGCGGTTCAGGAAGGCCCAGTGCCCCATCATTGAGCGTCTCACCAACTCGCTCATGATGAACGGCCGTAACAACGGAAAGAAGCTCATGGCTGTGCGCATCGTCGCTCACGCTTTCGAGATTGTACGTCTACAATCTGCCAGGTTTCGGAATCGCGAAGATGGCATAAAATGCGCGTCGGGAGACGGCTGACAATTGCAGATCCACATCATGACCGACCAGAACCCCATCCAGGTCGCCGTCGATGCCATCGTCAACTGCGGTCCCCGTGAAGACTCCACCCGTATCGGTTCCGCCGGTACCGTCCGTCGCCAGGCCGTCGATGTCTCTCCCCTCCGCCGTGTCAACCAGGGTATCTCCCTTCTCACCATCGGTGCCCGTGAGGCCTCTTTCCGCAACGTCAAGAGCATTGCCGAGTGCCTTGCTGAAGAGCTGATCAACGCTGCCAAGGGTAGCAGCAACTCGTACGCCATCAAGAAGAAGGATGAGCTCGAGCGTGTCGCCAAGTCCAACCGATAAAGGCGTGCGTTCTGTGTATGGGTGTGCATGGTGTCTCTGGGAGGAGTTCTTTCGAATGGCTGTTCTGGTCGTTTTTTGATCGGACAGAATGAGGGATCTTATGCATGGCATGGCTTTCCTAGGCGATTAAGACCTCTTTCATGGTTGCATGACAAAAATGGACAATACGATACCACGTTCAGATGAGCAGTTGCTGCGTGCGAGGTGATGTTGACGGCCACCGACAGGCGAGAGGAGGCCGGACCCGCTGTTGGAAGGCATCGTGTAGCTGTGAAATGCCACTTCATGTATAACACAATGGCGGAAGTCGTGTAGATCTTCGATGAACTCCAGTACATCCAAATTCATCTATGGGTATCTCATCTCTGCACTTTTTATGTACATGTCTATGCTGCCGCCCGCCCTAACACAGCCCTCTCTAATATGGCTCCAAACTCTTCGAAGCCGACTTTACCACTGTTCTTCTCTCCCAGCTGCTCAGCTTCAGCATAAGCTTTGGCCATGACCTCCTCATCGATCCTTACAAGCCAGTCGTGTCCTGTGATCATGATGTGACCCCCCTCATTTTGTAGTTGCTGCATAAGCCCACTTGCGCGGATCAATCTCTCGACCCAAACCCTATCTTTACCCTCCGCGTACGCTGCGTCGACCAAATCCACGGCACCCCTCTCCTTCATTGTATTCCTTACAAAGGCGACACACCTCTCCCGTCGTGCGGCTTCCATCTCGGCCTCCTTTTTCTCCTCTGCCTTCCTCTCCTCTCGCTCCTGTCTTGCGCGCTCGCGAATCTCCTCTTCGACAGCCGCTCGCCGAGCTTTCTCCGCTGCCGCAGTTGCCTCGCGCTCTTCACGGCCCTCGGCTTCTTGAAGACGCCGCATCTCGGCTTCTGAGCGTAGCCATTCGTTGTATGCGCGTTGTTGGTCTTTTCGAGCGAGCGATTTGGCTTTCTTGGTGCCGACGACGCGTTGGGTTGGTGGGGGACGGTTCGCGTTTTGTGGTGGGGGGTTTGCGGGGCCGGGTGCGAAGGCATCGTCGGGTAGCTGGGCTTCTTGTGCTTGAGTATTTGGCTGGCGATGTTGTGGCTGAGGGACGTCTCCGAACAGGGCTTGGAGCTGGTCTTGGTGCTGTGGTGGTGTAGGTGCCCGTGGCGGTCGTGCGGCTTCTACGCCATCGTCTTGGAGGACCAACCGCTCGTCTAGTGGTGCTTGTTCACGCTCATCTCTCTGTCCGCCTGCTGGGTTCCCGATTCCTTGTTCAACCGGGCGATTTATGCCTTCGTTATTCTCTCTTTGAGCATCGCCCGCCTCTGCTGCTTGCCGTTGCGCATTATACCATTCGCCGATTTGTGGAGCGAAATATAATGTTCCGCAAAGTACAGCTGTGTGCAGAAGATCTTGCGACAGAGGTGTGCCAGATCGCGTAAATGGCAGCAGAAGATTCAGGATCGTGAACGGAAGAGATAGTATGGCCCCCATCGTAACGTTCGTGATCGTATAGTCGATGCTCAGGTTTACACGTTGACGGAGGGTGCGAGTCGATAAATCGAAGTGGGGTTTTCGCGCGAAGACCGGCTGGTAGCGATTGGAAGCCGCTAGCGGTCCATGTAATTGGGAAGTAATATCTGCGGTATAATGAGGAGTCGATGCTTGTGCGATAACAGTAGTCGTCGTGGCGCTAGAGATGTGCTTCGGGTGAAAGACAATGTTAAGTCAAGTTGATGATGCAACTTGAAAGCCCGCCGTAGGGCTGAGCGCTAGTGCCGCGTTGGTGTTAGCGTACATCTTGAGCGATCCATGGATCATTCACATGCAACGAAGTGCTCCTGTCGTCAGCACGGCACGAGTCTTACAGACGTCTGCGCAATGACACTTTGACTGCGCGCGTTCATCGTATTTTCTGCCCTTTTGGTACAGCATAGTCGCTCTGACCATACCACTAACCGGAGGCCTGAACATGAATCCATCAAACCTCGCATTGGTTTGGAAAGCACCAAGATAAGAGAGGGATAATACAGCAGATAATAGTTTCATGAGTGATGGAGTCAGTCAAGACCTGGATATTGGATGCAGGGTGCGTCTCCAATAATATCTAACCTTTTCTTGGAGGGTGCGCCTTACGGCCGATAGCAAAAACCTCGGAGCCTTATTCGCCCTCCTCTCCACATTGTCCAGAGAGGGTAACCAATCGACGTTTTCAACCCCAGCCATAAGCTTTCCCAATCGTTCAGACCCTCCGAGGGCACGGCTGCTGTGTAACATTGCTATGGGGAACGGACTGCGATACCACCGCTTGACGATACGTGCGGAAGGCATGACCCGATTGTCCACAGGTCTGGCCGTCCAACATGTGTACGATGCAGGGATCCGAATCGCTTTTATATCTCTGGACAGGTCCGAATAATGATTACTATACTCTTGCAGCTTTGGCTTCATTCATCAAGGCTTCAATCCACCCGACTCATCATATTCTTCTGTCGACGCTTGTCTGACTCGTACCATTGCCACTCTCCAAGCTATACGATTGGCCCATCTCTACCTCACGCGACGCACATCTCTAGCCTACGGCATATTGAGGCACCTTGCTGCGGGGTCACCACATATTACGCGCCGTATAATTGGTCAACTGAACGTCAACATGGTCGTCGCAACAACAGATGCCTGGCCCAACACGGCGGGCTTCGACACGGATTACGAAGAACACGAGCCCGTGGAGCTCATCGTCAAAGGCACGATCCCACGGCATGCTGCAGGTGTATTGTATCGGACGGGTCCACTCGGCTACAAGGCGAAGACAAACGATGGCAAGATCTGGGCAGCAAGACATTGGTTTGATGGATTCTCATGTGTCCATCGTTTCCAGATTGACTTTCCCGACGCGGACGGCCCGGCGAAGGTTACATACCGTTCGCGACGCACAGTGGATGAGTACCTTGAGATTGTTCGTACGACCGGAAAATTGGATAGTACCACGTTTGCGGCCAAGCGTGATCCATGCGAGAGCTTCTTCTGGAAGGTAAGTCCTGACTGTACGAGATGCACGTGAGACATACACTGACTTTGTACTTCCACCTCTGTAGGTCATGAGCATGTTCCAGGCATCACAGAATGAGCGCAATGTCGGTGTTACGCTCTCCATAAATATGGCTGGAAGTGACAAGCTTACCAAAGGCGCGAAACCGACAACCAACGGTCACACCAGTGGCGTTGAGACTCTGCATGCCCGAACAGATTCTAGTGCCATCAAGGAAATCGACCCAGAGACGTTGGAGCCGCGCGGTTATGCACGTCAAGAATTCCTTCACCCGGAGTTGAAAGGGCCTTTCTCTGCCGCTCACGCCAAGTCTGACCCCCAGACTGGTGACATGTACAACTTCAATCTCGACTTTGGATACAAGGGTACCTACCGCATCTTCCGTGTCTCGGCAGCGTCCGGCGAGACAGATATACTCGCTACTTTCCATGGCACGCCTGCATACATTCACTCGCTGTTCTTGACTGAGAACTACGTCATTCTCTGTGTCTGGAACAGTCACATCACATGGGGTGGCGTTTCGCTTATGTACCACAAGAACGTGGTCGACTCTATCGCGCCCTTCGATCCAAACTCCAAAGCAACATGGTACGTTGTCGACCGCCGCGAAGGCAAGGGGCTTGTAGCAACGTACGAAAGCAAGCCTTTCTTCTGCTTCCACAGCATCAACGCCTGGGAAGAGCCATCGGCTTCTGACCCAAGCAAGACCGACATCATCACCGAGCTCAGCATGTTCGAGAACTTGGACATCGTCAAGCGCTTCTACTACGACAACATCATCTCTTCCATCGACACGCCTGACTATGAGGGTGAGAAGCGCAGGCCGTGTCTTCCGATGCAGGCGCAGTTCCGCCTTCCAAGCGTCAACGCTGGTGTTCCTACCGCGATGCCCGCTGAGCTTCTCTTCCAGGCCGACAAGTTCAAGTCGATGGAGTTGCCCACGCTCAATCCGGCATACCTGACGAAGCGCCATCGCTACACGTATGGATGTGCCGACCGTCTCAGATCTTCGTTCTTCGACGGCCTCGTCAAGTTCGACAACAAGACTCAGGAAGCCATCTACTGGGAAGTGGACGGCCACACACCTGGCGAAGCGATCTTCATCGCTACCCCCGAAGGTGTGGAGGAAGATGATGGCGTGTTGTTGAGTGTGGTCTTGGACGGATATGCGGAGAAGAGCTACCTGCTCGTGCTCAATGCGAAGGACTTGACGGAGATGGGAAGAGCTGAGATGGCGGGGCCGATGAGCTTTGGGTTCCATGGGACGTTTAAGGAGACGTACAAGACATATCGAGGAGATGTATGAGTGAGAGTGGTAGCACTCAGTAGTGAATGCCTCACTATCGCTTTGAAGCTCAAAACTTCGCAATGTTGTAATTCAGTCTGTGTTTGTTACATTGCCGAATCGCACCAATGGTTACATAGGAACGATGTTCACTGATTACAGGTCATCTATTCAATTACCCATGACATCCATTCTTTCGGTTGGAAGACTTCGCAACAGATCCGGTACATACACTAGGAAACAGATATCGATCACCATCTTATCAGAATGTATTTACTGTAATTCGTTCATACCCTCCTCTCTTTGTATCCGAGCTTGAATACCCGCGATGAACCTTGCTCTATTTCCCACCATTATTCGGACGCTTTCGACGCTTCCGATGCGCGGTAGTCGGTCAGCAGTTTGTGGTCGCAAAGTCGGATTGAAGATGAGCATCCTGCGACACATGGGACAGTTGCCATGGAGAAAACGACTCGTTTGATCTTGAAGCCACTTTACAAGACACCTCTCGTGAAAAACGTGTTGACACACGCCAAGCTGAATGGTTGATGTCGGCGATATAGCGCGGATGTTGTTTTCGGGGTCGGGAGTCGCCGGGGTCGCATCCTGTAGCTCGAAATCAGCTGTTGTGTCGTTGTAGCAGATGATGCATACGGTTTCGTGTTCTTGGAAGTAGTTGTCTTGGAGGACGATGTATGGAAATCGTCCAAACATGTGGGTTTCGGTTCGAGAAGTAGACATTGTAATATATTGGGTGGCCGGTGGATGGCGAAAATTGTGACGATGCGACGCTATCAAGAAATGTGTTGTATACAGATGCGGCTTGTGCTATATATAATATAGCACCTCGTCTTTTGAGCAAAGTATCAGCAAATATAACCATAGTGTCGCCTACTCAACTTTGGTTCACTGCGCGCACGTGCCTCCATCTTCCGAAGTCATCAAGAACCGAGGTAGCTATAAGTGTTGACTTTACTTCTAACTCTATTACATCTAGTACGTTGCAGAAGATCAATCCCCGTCCAGAGAAGATAGTAGTGCGCAACCAAATACTAGAAGTTCACGACTAATGACCGAGCGTGAGATCCAACTTCACACACATAGTAAGCAAGGTTTGGCGGCTATACGTTTTTCTAGACTCGTGCCATAGAAGGGCCCTTGATGGCGTGTGCGATTCCGTATTTTGGTTGCCATCTATTTTATCCACTAGTACTGCCATAACTCAGAGCGACAAGCCACTTACGACTCCCGCAATACATCACTATTCCCCACGCACAAGGTACTACTCAAATAAGCGAGATCGCAGTCATCACACTCACGTTGACTAAGAAAAAAGCTAAACATACCTGCAGCCTACATTAGCATAGAAGCATACAAAATAGATAATCTATCGTTAATGTAGGCTCTAGACCTGTTTAGCTTTGTCCCTGTATAAGGTGCACTTAAAGAGATGTTGCGTAGACGGAAGCTAACACAGGGTCGATCTGGCCAGAAATGTCAATAGGAAGAAGCGCAGCGGCAATTGGACGGGAAAACACGTTTGGAAGCCACGCAATCGCGGCTTGAAAAGCGTGCCTTTCAATGTGCAACGTTCGAAGGAACGGGAAAGAAAGAGAGCCGAGCTAGTTCCATCAACCTTGTCAGTGGCCGAAACGCGAACAGGGCTTATCTAGGTACTCGAAAGTGATCGAGTTGTGCTAGTGAACTAGTAACACTACAGCCTCTGTTTAAATACGATAGGAGCCGAGGCCAGCGCCTAAACTGTACATCTATTATATGTGACCTTGCTCTTGTGATCAACCAGATTCTTCTATTTGGTTTCTTGAGTTGCTGCGATTAGAAACCCGGTACTCATGGCCTTTCTTGTGTGTGACTTATGCTTGGAAGGTCCGGCGCAAGTGAATTGGGGGAAGAAGGAAACCGTGGTAGCCGTGCTTCTCACGATACATCTGCTAACCCAAACTTGGCACCTGTTTATGGACCTTCTTTCTACTCAACCACTAGCCACGATCACTAAAGCTTTACCCTCAACTCAGATTCCTCATACACCACCCCCTTCGCTCACCTCAACCTTGAGGCTGAGCAGTATGTCCAACGACATTGCCATCGATGCGCGCCTTAGCGCTTTCTTCGATGAGAGTGTAGACAACCTCCAGGATGACCACTACGTTGAGAATAACGATGTATGCGATATTTGCAGGGCTGATCATATGGCTGATCCATCGGAACCCATCGAGCACGCATCCTCCATCACGCGCACTGGTGTAGTCCAGACGAAGACCTGTCCCTTGCCTCACATTTTCCACAAGCTCTGCTTATACGCCTGGATGCACGCAAAGCTGCGCAGAAACGCAAATGCAACCTGCCCGATGTGTCGCACCACGCTCATCGTTTCTAGTCCCGGTCCATGGAGGGAGATGTTATTGGAAGAATCAGAATCACTCGCTGGACAAATCAACGAACTATTTGAGATGTTGGCAATTCTTAGAGAACAAAACGAGGCAGACATGATTCAAATAAACGAAGCCAGGACAGCTCTGAATAGATTCAGCGCAGGAAGGGATGAGACCGAATGACCGGTTTGCGATGCGGAGCGTTATTGCGGACAACACCGCGCATGCGCAGCAAATTAAAGTCCACTATCTAATGGCTTTGTCAATATCAGCAGCGCTGGCAGCTATTGCGACCCTGCGCTGAACGTGCCTGTTCAAGTGGTCGCGGGTCGTCGCCAGACAGTTTTCTGACCATAGGTCTTTGTCGCAGTCCTGTCTTGGATTCTGGTACAAGAAGGCAAAACTTCCAAGACTAGAAAATATCTTTCTGCCATTCCCACCTGGTCATGTTGTCTTGACAAGCTTGTGATCGTCCGGTTGCTTGGCGGTTTCTTATGTCTCGTGCATTCCGAAGTGTCCCGATTTCAGCCGCCGACCGCCTCCGAAAGTCCGAGTTGTACCCGATTCGCCACATGTGCAATGCTTTACTCAGGCTAGATCATGAAAACAAGCTTCTTGACGAATGATCGTAATTACAGTCTTGAAAATGCAAGACTCCAGTGGGTCCTTCTTATCAAGGTATGCAGTCTTTCGGTATGAGGTTTTTCGGTGATGACTCGGCGGAACAATTGTTGGGAGCGATGCGTTTCGACTTTGCGATAGGAGAAGTATATAGTGAGGCGCCAGACCGACAGTTCGGGGGAGCATATCTGTCAAAGCAAGCGAACGTTGGCAATCATTCTCTCTCTCGTTCCGAACCTACAAGTCTCCAACTCCTTCAAATATCCAATCTCACACTCAATCCCAATACCCTCAACATGGTGGCGCAAACATCCAAGCCATCGAGCCGCAGCTCTTCCGTGACGGCGCCAGTTGAACGCTCATCCTCACCGAGCATGCATCATGCAATTGCGACTTCTTCGTCTCTGAAGTCGATGCTCAAGAAGCCCTTCCAGGGCTGGTCCAAGGATCTCCTTCGCGCGAGGGACGACGACGACGATGACTACAACTTTTCGAGTGGTATGCGCCGTGGAGCTCAATACTACCAGAACGACGCCTGAGATGGCTGGGAATACTATGATCCGCGACTGATGGAGGACGAGGCCGATGCCACACTACGGTCTCCCAAACGAACTCGAGCCCAATACCTATGCGCGTCGACCGGGTGGTAATATCGAAAGGACGTATGGAGGCAGAGTGGTATACCGTGTGACGGTGGTAGTGACTCGGGGTTTTGATGGGCTGGAAGATCTTGTCACACCCGGCGGGTATGGCTGAGACGGCTGTGTGGCAGGCCTGGCGTTTGTGCTGCGTTGTATTGCTTTTGCGAGCGCGATACCCTTGATCTTTCCCTTAATTTACACAATTTGTAATGCACACTTAGTTCCACAGTGCGCGTTATCGTACGAGAGGTTGGATGTGTTGTGTGACGATACACGCGACCAGAAAGCTCGTGGAGACGCTTGCCCACCATTCTGACGATCCTAAGCTTGTGTTATGTCAGCAGCGCTTGACGCATCCGCCTCTCCTACTTCATCCCAGAACTCCACCTCGCAAAATCTGTCCCAAATCGCGCACTTTCGAAATTGCGGCCTTCCCGAACAACTAGAGCCTGCACAGGGCTGGCATACATATGTGCCCTCGCTTGCGGTCCCGGTAAGGTCGCTACCCATGGACTGGCTCAGAGAGCGCCGCACCGAAACATGCATGGGCCATGCTGCAAGCCACAAACTCTCCCGTCTGTCAAGCCTAGCTCATACACGAATCATCACAATTGCATCGAGGTCACACGCGTGAAGACGGAGTATCTTTGAACACGGCAAGCATTCAACAGTAGACGATCTTGCTGACTGAGTACGAGAATTTGGCAGCTCCAACTCATGGCTTCGCGTGCGCATCACCAAGCAATATCGACGTCACTCCACAGCATACTCGGCTTGACTCGATGAAAATTGCGGAGGATTGGCGCGCAATTTCTCCTAGGCAACAGTCGCACGAATAGACGCAGCTAGACCATATCAGATGCCGGTGTGCCTAGAAAGGCGGCTTGGTGGTCTTTAGGGGGGCCTGCGCCGCCCGGTTAGGCGTGCCGCATCATGCGCTGTCAGTTAAGCGATCAGCCTCCGAATCTCCCCAATAAGTAGACTAGATATCCCATACTCGACGAACCTTTTCTTCATCGCCAAGCATCACTCGTTACTGCCTGTCGTTCATTGCCAATCTTTTTCAAGACTCCAATCTAATACTTATTACTATACCCCATATTGCTCGTCTCAATCAACACCGCAAGATGTCTAAGATCCTCTCCGTGGCGCTTTTCGCCTCTTACGCTGCGGCTCAAACGACCGCTCAGGTCTGGATGCCCGGTCTAGGCGATATGGGCATTTCGTACGAGGGTTCTGTGGTCAGCGTTGACAACGACCGCACTATCATGTCTGTGGCTGTGCAGGGTATTACCCTCGACGACTCACTGGTGTGTAACAACGAGTTGAAATCATCGATAACATTCACTGATCTGTTGCGACTAGGCCGATGTCCCTTCGACCATCACTGTCGGAGGCAACACCTACTATGAATATGACGCCTCCAATGACCACTACGGCGTGACGGTGACCGTCTCCGGCGCATGCTCGCGTCAGAACACCGACGAAGCGGAGGCAACCTGCACCCAAACTACCATTGGCCTCGAATCCGAAATGAGTTCTCTATGCGCTGACCCAGAATACGCTTCCTCCCTCTGCCCGGACGGCGTGGATGCCGCTCTCTCTTTCAGTACAGTGTTCCCCGAAGGCTACTTCGACCTGTTCGCCGTCGTCATCACCGAGGGCGGTGACTCCCTTCCCAGTGCCACAGCGGCCGCATCAGTATCGGCCGGCAGCGCTTCCGTAACAGCGTCCCGTTCCACTGTCACATCCGCAGCTTCTGGATCTTCCGCTGCTACCGGCTCCGACTCTGACGCAGCGGCAAGCACTGGCTCGGAATCTGCTGCTAGCTCTGGAGCTTCTGCCACCTCCAGCGGTCCAGAGGAAGTAGCCACTGGTGCTGCCCACATGGTCCAAGTCCCAGCTCTGGCTGGTCTTGGTGCTGCTGTTGCCGCTTTCTTCTTGTAAAAGTTTAGTAGTGAGATAGTCGCTTTCATCTGCGCATTTCGAACGAGTTCTGGCTTAGCGAATACCCTTTATGCATCTACGCGTCGTCACTCAATACCTACGTCTACAATACCATCTTGATTCGTCTATTCACTTGTCGTATTGTTGTCATGCCAAAGTCCTCTAAGAATTTGTCTCTGGTCTCTTCTTCAAGCATACCATTCTCTCTCCTTTCTTACCAAAGCAGCTCTTTCCTTCATCATCCGTCATGACTTTCCCACAGTACACATGTCCCTCACAGTCTTCCCTTTTGCATCGCCACCTTGCCACGTCCCCACCCTTCTCGAGAAAGTAGCAACCCTCTTTACATTCATACTCTTTTTGAACATGCGCACACCTCATATCGCATGGAAACCATGCGCTTCGTATAATGACTGTCTTGGTGTCTAGAACATCGATGTCTTTGAGTTCGAAAAGATCAAAATTGGTATTGGTATTCGATGCGGGCATTTTGTGCCCGGCAGCCACAAGATCTGTGTTTGTAGATGGTTTGTTGCTGAATATGCTGGGCAACCAGCGCGGCGGTGGTCTAGGTGGAATCAGGACTGTCAAGGTGTATTTCGTGGTGTTCGGCTCCGTCTCGCCTAGAGGATCAAAGTAAGCCGACATTCCGACTTGGGCGTAGTTTACCTGACTACAAGAGTATGCGAGCTTTCAAAAGATTCTGGAAGAATTGCGCGAGAAGGGGCGGCGCAGTATCAGCAGGCCAGATACGAAGAACGATAAGGCAGAAGTGGCTGTGTCCATATGTGTGATTGATGAACAAAGACTGGGTGGTATCAGTGTTCGCATGTGACGCACGGTGTGAAGAGGGCTATGGGCGACAAACGAATGCGTTGTGTGAGACAACGGGAAATGCTTGATTGGTGATTGGGGATGCGCTAAGACTGCCGTGAGTATTCCGCTTGCGCATTCACAACCATTTGGCGATACTGGATTGCAGGAGGCTCTCAAACAAGAAAAATGTGAAGGTGCTGGCATGAACAACCAACCAGCCTGCCCCAACTAGAATGAATTCGCCTTCTTCAATCGGTCACTCTCCCTTTCCTCCCTCACATGCTCGTCATAACCCTCAATACACCGCAGCCTTTCCGTAGGGCTCAAATAAACCATTCCACCATCTTTGCACCAACCCTCCCAAATCTTAGGCCGTCCCCTTTTCTCCCTGCGTACAGTTTCTCCTCCAATCTCCACCTCTTCATTCTCCAAGATACTGCCCGCTGTCCACTCAATAACGTAGTGCTCCTTCAGATACTCTGCTTTACATTCGCGTCCAGAGGCTAGACAGCTGCAGCGAATGCTTTTGGGGATCGCATCGCAGTCGACATCGAACGTGATGGTTTCGTTGATGCCAATCAGATCGGCGTGTGAGAAGCTGGAGTCGGAGAAGTATTGTTGCGAGGTTGCGGGCGCGACGAGTGCGGTGATGCGGAATGTTGGCTTCTCTGGTGTTGGGGAGAAGTGGGCCATGAGCTTGCTGAAGATGCCTGACATGTTGGGTGGTATGTGGGTCTGGGCGCGGGTGTGGTTTGGATGCGCTTGTGATTTAGACGTGACTTCTGGGATTTTGCTTGAGTAGGCTTGGTATTTGGAGACAAGACTGTTGGAAGGAGAGCATGACCGAAGACGTGTTATTCAATAAGAATATCTGATGTGTCGACGCAGATGCACAACCATGGTTCCCATTCTCTGGCGAAGACCCTTAAAAGCGAGCCACTCACAGAACTCGTAATGCTTAATCGTACCAAAACCAAAAATCAAAATCTGTGCCATCATGTGCTAAATCCCATTACGTGTATACTAATCGTAGAGGTTAACCCTGGTCAGAGTGAACTAGACCCTAATAGGAGAAAATGGTTGAACAGGCCTGAAGCCTACATTGGCCTTAGGTTAGCTACTTCGCATGTTTTCATGTTGATGTAGGCTGATTTTCCTAGGTCGACGTGCTAGAGGAGATGCGACCAAGGTTTGTGCGACGCTGCCAGTCGAGTATTACCGATGCGCTGAAAGAGCTGAGACTGACGTCTCGAGATCCAGCACAGGAGTCGTGGGCCGCGCAATACGCTGCAGTTCGGCGACGCTTCGCGAGATCCCCATCGGTACACCACGTACAACTTTGTTGGCTGGGCTACTGAACCACGCAGCGTGTGTAGTTGTCGCGTATGCTGGAACCTGTTCCACTTCCGATTTTGCAGGTCTGGCCGTAGGAAGCTGACGGGAGGATGGGATGGGAGTCGACACAAGATCGTCTCCACCACCGAAGAGCGAGTTGAATATTATGCTCGGGCCTAGCGACTTGAAAGTGCTTCTCGTGCGGCGCATGGAAGACGGGTTCATTGGCTCTAATGTGGTATGCTTGTTGTCGCCTAGGCGGTCTATTGGGGGTTTCGAGAGCTTTCGCTTGTCTGAATCCTCTGCGGCGTGTTCCGTAACGTTTTCGATCTCTGAGGTAGCAGATTCGGGCTCATGTGGACGTGACTCGTGTTCCGGAACTGCGGGTATATCGCTCGCGCAAGCAGAGGATGAAGGGCAGGCGGTACTGCAAAGAGCGCTTTTGGAAACAATACATTGAATGCTCGATACTGCAGAGACTTTCGGTAGTTCTAAACTCATCGAAGGGGTCGTGGCCATCGTAGACGATTCAGGAAACAGGCCATCACGACTTGAGACTTCAGAGCATGCTGTCGACGATCTTCCGCTTTCAGACGATTCTTTTGATTCTTCTGTATCGAAGGAGGGTTCGAGGGTAGGCGGTGTATTGGATGGCAAGTGTCGCTTCTGCTTCAGAATAGTGTTTGACCGCTTCGGCTGAGACTTTGTCGCGAAGACATGAGATTTTTTCACCCTGCGTGGCATTTTGAGAACGGGGTCGCGGCCCAGCCGAGGACTCCAGAAATGACGTAAGCGGAGTGAGATTTCGGTCGGTCCAACTAAGGTCGAGGTTGAGCTCGGACGCCGGGTAGTTGGTTTAATGGCTAGAGTAAATTGTCAAGGAAATAAACTGACACCCGCTCAGTTAGACGGGTGCGCGGAGGCTTCTTTGAGTTTTCACGAACAGTGTGTGAAAGCGTTTGGGGTTTTACGATTTGGATCGCTTTCGAGTGAACATCCATCGACCAGGCTGGATTGCGATAGTTGCGCGACTCGAGCTGGGGCCTGTGGCGAAGCTTCTTTTGTTGCTTGTGGGAGTGAATTGTTGTAGGCTTGACATTCTGGATCAAATTTAGTGCTGTAGTGCGGGCAAATGTTGGTGACAAAGACATGGACGTTTGCTGCGCAGTCGTAGATGTCTCGTTGTTCAAACACTAGTCCGATTGCGGCTAGCATCTGGTTCGTACGACCGCAGACTGCAGCTGGAGTTGCTGCCACCCGCTGTCAGACATGGATACCATGCAAGCCAGGATCGATTCATCCGGAAGCTAGTACCCCACCTTTGTAAGCATGTCAGCGCCGTTTCTCAATCGCTTTTCGCGTTGAAACTTACTCTCAAATCTGCAATCATGGACCGGGAGCACGCCGGTGAGATGACCTTTGAGGTCGACGCAGGTCACGATGAGCCGAATTCGAACAATGTGACAAGCAGTCGAGAAAGGAAGCTACTGATGAAAGTCGACCTGTGCGTCCTGCCTACCGTCATTGTACTGTATCTCTTGTGTTTCATCGATCGAACGAACATCGGTAAGGCCGTTTGCGCATGGCTTGTTTATGCCCATGGACTGATCACAACAGGCAACGCCCGTATAGCTGGCATGGAGGAGGATCTCAAACTTGAGGGATATGACTACAACGTCGTATTATCGGCGTTTTACGTGTCATACATAGTCTTCGAGATGCCAGCGACGCTCTGCTGCAAATTGATCGGTGCGCACGATGACTAGAGCGCTTTGTTCAATTCTGATATAGCAGTAGGCCCTGGATGGTTTCTGCCGATGACTTCGTTTGGCTTCGGTGCCATGTCTATCGCGACGGCCTTCGTACGAACCCGCGCTCAGGCGTGTGCTGTTCGATTCCTGCTTGGGATCTTCGAGGCCGGCGTAATGCCTGGATGCGTTTACTACCTCTCACGATGGTACAAAAGGTCGGAATTGACCTTTCGTCTTGGGCTGTGGTTGTCCATGGCCCCTCTCGCGGGAGCTTTCGGTGGCATGATCGCTTCGGCTATCTTGAACTTGAGCTCCGTCGGTTTCTTCGATGGTTGGCAAATGTAAGCAAACAGCCGGTGTGCTGCAAGTTGTTGATTAACGATTAACAGGATCTTTGCCATTGAAGGCATCGTCACCATGTGCCTTGCTCTGGTGTCCTTTTTCACACTGACTGACCGACCGGACACTGCACGCTGGATGACCGAAGATGAGATACGGATGATAGTTGGCAGGATCAAATCCGAGCGTCTCAACCAAACCGAGTTGCTCGACAAGATTGATGCCTTGAAGCTTCGACGCGGCTTCTCCAACCCAATCACGCTTGCGACATCGTTCATCTTCCTGCTTGACAGCATAACTGTCATAGCCATTTCGTTCTTCTTGCCGACGATCGTTCGTACCATTTACCCAGATCGCACCGTCGTCCAACAGCAGCTCTTGACTGTGCCACCGTACGTTCTTGGTGTGGTCTGCACTATTCTTATCACGACCGTAAGCTGGCAAATGAGCTCTCGGCAGACGCTCATTGCATTCACGGGACCGTTTGTAATTGCTGGGTATGCGATGTTCCTTGCGACGATGAACGCAAGTGTTCGATATGCGGCTATCTTCCTTTGTGCATCAACATGCTTCTCGTTGGCTGCCATGACGAACGCACAAGTCAGCGCAAACGTGCTTTCTGACTCTGCACGCAGCATTGCCATTGGAACCAACGTCTTCTTTGGATACGTTGGCGCCCTGATCGCCAGTTGGACTTATCTACCTGGCGACTCTCCCCGTTATGCCATTGGAAATGGTATCAACTTGGGCTGCGCAGTGACGTGGACCGTCGTGGCGATTTTCACTAAGCTCTGGATGACCCGCGACAACAGGAAGAGGGACAGGAGGCAGCTAGAAGCTCATACAGAGCTCGCATCATTATCAGATGACGAGATCGCGAACCTTGAGTGGAAGCACCCTGCATGGCGATGGAAGCCGTGACTGACGCCACATTCTCCTTAGAGGCCCCAGAGACATTGCGGCGTTTATGGAAGAAGCCCACATGGCTCTTCACGTTTATTCCTGCCACCGAGGGTAGAATGGCCGACCAGGTTCGCAGTGCATGCGACCAGATTTCCCTTCACGACAAAGTTCTCTTCTGAAGTCGGAAGCTGTTTCCAGTGTCTTCTTATGAGTTAGCTACTTGTATTCAATCTCAAATTCACACGACAGAGGCGTGAAGTCGCAAACTTACATGCCTTTGTTCCTTCACAATCGCTCGTTCACTGCAAACAGATTCACCCACCTGATGCATTTCCACGAACATGTCTATCGACTGCAAGCTCTGAGTTGCCAGCTGCTCGACTCAGTCTCTACCAACTTGCAGCCCTCGTTCAAGCAGGCATGGACAACTTCCTCAACACGCAACTGCATCCCGCAGACACTTGCAACATCTGCACCGAGCACTTCAGCGCGACCCATCAGCCTGCGGCGCTGCCTTGCAAGCATATCTTCGGTCATGAGTGCATCAAGAAGTGGCTGAAGGAGGGTAAGGGAAACTCAAATGCTTGTCCGACTTGCCGCTACGTCGTGGTCCCCAAACCAAACCCACGCGCAACCTTCGATGCTGCCTCAATCTGGAAAGAAATATGCGACCAGCCGCCCGAACGCCTTCATGCTTTCATGATGAAGATATGGTCTGGTCTGGAGATACTTTGGCAGCGAGAGCCCACCGGTGCCTTCACAGTAACCTCCATTCTCGACCAAACCATCATCCCGGCCCTTATCAACACTGCACATCGCACTAATGCGCCCGACGATCGGCGGCCAGACTCTCTGTTGGACTGCTACAATCTTGTGGCAGCGTCTTGGGACTCTTTGGGCCGACCCAACATAGCGACTGGTCTCGCGATCCCGCTGGTTCGGCTTGCACGTTTGATGGCCAGCGCAGGTGCTGTGCTACCGAAATGGCTGACCACGAACCCACGCGCAAACAGGCTAGTCTGGCGCGCAAATGCCTGTCTACCCATCGGCGAAGTAGATATATCGTGGCGCTACATCATTGAAGCTTCCCAACAGATCGAGTCGCCTTACTTCCCGCTGCTGCACCTTTATACCATGTTCATCAGCCAGGGTATCGCACACTTTCCTGCATCGAGGCCATATCCCTCCAAGCGTCATGAGATCATGAACCTTGTGGTTGAGCGCTGTTGTACGAAGATTGGTGGTGGAGGGGCGGCTTGGAAGGGCAAGCCGGGCGACGAGCTTAAGGAGGTTTTGGTGGGGGTATACGACGAGTTACGAAGGCATCAGCTGGAGAAGAACCGGATGAGTCTGCGAGGTCACGACGGAGAGGATGCGCTGGTCAAGGGCATATGGGCTCTCGCTGGCTGGGGCGGTGGAAGAGGTAACGCGCGCTGATGGCATTGCGTAGGTGGGGCCATTCGAGTCATCTTAATTCTATGTGCTTTATGAAGTTAGCATCCTTGTATCGATTTAGAAAGATAAGGACATTGAACGCATACCTGAATTGTAAAAGGATACCAGCATGACTTG